TGTTCATTTGAAATTTTGCAAAATGCTCCTCAAGGTGAMAAAGAATGCTAGTAACCTTGCATGCAGAGCTGAGTTAGGAAGGTTTCCGCTAAAATGCAAAGCATGCAGTAGAAGCTTTAAATTCCTGCATAAAATTATAATATTGGAACTACGCCCAAAAAAACTTTCAGCTGAAGTCTACCAAGATATTAAAAATAAAACTAAAAAAGCATTTTGGAGCATAAAAGTTAAACCTACATTAGAACAACTCGGATTGGGGATAATTTGGATGAAACAAAATGAACTTTCTCCAAGATGGTATGAATATGGAAAAATAATAACCCAAAGAAGATATGACATTGAGAGGCAAATTTTATGGAGTAACCTCCACAATGATGAAATTAGCAACCGTAAGATTGAAGTAGAAACGGGGAGGTATAAGAGGCCTTATCTCATTTACGATGGAAGGATTTGTCCATTCATCGATGTCTGCTGATACGTGAAAACGAAATAAGAAAAATACCTAATACATAGTATATATATATATACATATAATGTATTTGGAACCAAACACCCATGTACTCCTAAGTATAAGGTGCCAAATAAATTGTATGGTATTGTATATTGTATTGTATATTATAATGGTTTAACTTGGGCAAAGCTGTATTCTTTATATCTTTACGACTTTCATTACAATAGCAAGGGAAGCATTATAGTGCGGATTGAGATCGAAGTCATCGGTAAAGTGCCTGATCCACTGCTGCCTTTGAGAGATTATATCAAAAGCCAAGCAGAAAAAATCAATGGCTTACAGATAGACTACAACAGCATTCAGAAATCAAATGGTAAGATGGTTTAGTAGCTTGGACTCGACTCGGGGAAGGCTAAGTGTGTTTTTACTTTTGTATTACCACTGTTTTCATTGCTACTTGCTGATCAAGGTAATCGAGAGATCAAATAAATCGCATTCATGTACCTACGATTTATTTGACATATTTAATGTAGCCTAATGCCTTATTTCGCTTTCGCGACAGTTGCCGGTGTCGATAGCGTGTAGCAATCAAACAGTGGTAAACATCTGTGGGACCATATCTGCATTGTATTGTGATAACAGAAATAATCCGTATACCGCAGATCAAGAAAATAAGCCGATTCCATGTAAAGAGGAGAACAAGACACTGTTGGCAGTTCTTGGAGCTCTGTTTGGTTTGTCGATTGTCCTAATCATCATACTTATAGTGGGGTTCCTGTGGTCACGTAGAAAAGGTACGCTATTTTACTTTGGGTGCAAAGACAAAGAACATAAGGGTACAGACAAGGTAGGATTAACATATTAACGATATTTTTCCTGATTTTAGATTCAAAAGGAAATTCTGGGGAAACGTACGTACCAATCTGAGACATTTAGATGATAAAAGTTCTGATTAAAACAATTAAATGTTAATATCCCCTTTTGCAGATCGAACACAAGTGACAAGATAGGACAAATGGTAATTTTTATATGTATAAGCATACCACATTATCTCATATTATCTACGTATTATTGATATTGCGCATGAAATTTTGAAGCAGCTATCTATGTTTATTCATTCATTCTTCATTCATTTATTCATTCATTCATTTATTCATTCATCCGTTCATCCATCCATTCCATCTTTGTTGTATTCATTTCTTCGTGCGTTATATACATATTTCAATAAAATTAGTCACCTGAAAAGCTATAAAGTTGAGACCAACAAGGATTATGGGTAGATACATTTTACATGTTTCAACCGCTTGATAACTGTTGATGGACTTGTACATTTTTTACCAGTTATAGTCTCACCTTCACTGAGCATCCTCAAGCTGCAGTTTGCATCAAAAAAGCTCTACTTGTTTGAAATGAATTGTTCCCCATGATCCTCAGTGACCTCAGCTTTCTAGGTTTTTGGTGACTAACTTTATTGAAATTAAGTATATATTTGTTTCTTCTCTCTCTATTCATTCATTACTATTATTCTTCCTTACCAACAAAGAACGACATATCACTTCAAGAGACAAGTTTTAATGCTACAGATAATGAGACACCAAATATGCCAGAATATGAACCAATAGGAAGACGAGGATTATCGACGAGTAATGCTGGCATCCCTGAATATGAGGCGGTGACAACAAGAACACAGCAATCCCAACCACATTCCGGTGTACGGACGAATAACCTCATGCCTCAGTATGAAAGTACAGATCAGCATGGACAAACAGAGGCTGTTTCGAATCCACCACCAGTAACCTATCATACAATCCAACATCATACTGGTAACTACGATTCCTTGAGTCCTTCAACACGGCTTTCTCCTAAGGGTGTAGTACTGTCATCGACAGGAAGTCCAACACGTACAGGAGAGTACCAGGCCCTACAACACAAGGGGGTGTCTCCACAGTACCAGTCTCTGGATGACTTGAGCAAATGTTGAGTGAATAAGGACCAAAAGAGATTAGTATTGGTGAGGCATTGCCTTTTGCTTTTAAATAGGCTATTAATAGAGTAGATGATATGCGGGACATCTGTATCATTACTGATAGTACACTCACTCCTCGAATATTACAAATACACTTGCAATTTTGATCACATTTTTCACTTTTCTTTTGTTCTTTTAGACACGTTGATCATGATAGACAGTCTTGTAATAATCAAGTTAATCATACACAAATATAACAATCTTAAAGAAACTCACGAAAAGATAATAAGACCTTAAAGGGAAGCGTTTTACTCATATTTGTTGATCACCACAAACATTTAATATACTATGCTGACACAATAACCAAGCTATGTAGTTGACTCGATTTTGATTGCACTCACGTATTGATACTAATAACAATAAGGCAAATGATTCACAAATATCAATCGTAAGCTCATTTTTATGTTTGCTAAATTTCCTTTTACCATGTGAGGTCTGTGAGAGTTTTGATTTGAAATCTTGACGTAAAAGAAAGACAAACAAGTGTCTTGTCTCTCCCCTTACTGTACACCCGTTTTCCCGAGAGCCTGTTCGCAATTTGGTCGACCAACATGACCTGGTCCTCATGCTGCTGACGAATTGTCTATATTAAGGCCCCGGAAATTTTCGTATCCGCAAATATTTTTTTGCGTATACGAAAATGTTCGCGTCCACACGCAGCGTATTCGAATCGTTTTCGAATCCTTTTCACTGTCCACACGTATCCGGAAATTTCATGATCCGCCCTGATGCACGCTAGTGCCTAGTCCATTTGACGAATAGTTTTTCTTATTGAGCATGCGCAAATTCTTGTTTACGTCATCGTATTCGAAAATTTGCGGATATGACTGCCACACGTATCCGTATTCGGAGCGTAAGCGAAAATTTCCACTCTGGAGACCGTTTTCGAAAACTTCCGGATACGGATACAAAAATTTCCGCACACGTGTGGACGCAACCCGTATCCGCAACAAAAAAAAATTGCAGATACAAAAATTCCCGGATGCGTGTGGACGGGGCCTAAAACATTTAAAAATTAGTAGATAACGACTAGTTTTGGAACTAGCTTGGACTGCGTCGGTGTTTTTTAAAACACATGTGTCGTAGTAGATAATTTTATCACCGTAGGTACGAAAGATAGTAGACTGACGTTTCGGACGTTAGTCCTTCGTCGGAGTCAATCAAATTAAGAATTAAAAATTAAAAATGAGCCTTTCTTACCATGTCACCAAATAATCGTAGTTGTTGCTGAATTGATTTTTGCTTTCTTTCTGCTTTCTTTCTGCTTAATTATACGTTTTAAGGTTTATTATTGACTCTTAGTTGTATGATCATCTCTGAACTTTAACTGAAATTTAATTACTGTAAATTATAATTCTAAATTCTATATCTAAATTCAATTCATGAGTAGAAGAAATGCGCGCGAACATGCCCATGAAGGTTCAAAATTGTGCACCCCATGTCTTTTAACCCCATGCATCTCCCTCTTTACTTCGCACACTCTAGCTATGATTTAAATTCGACCATTCGCATTGCACCACATTTCGGTAGGGTATCCATCAGCTGTTTTGTATTTCGTCCAGCACGCTGTAATAACATAACCTCTCTGACGTTTCGACGTTGTTCCACCGGCCAGGAAACCCAGTATACGCTCTAAGAGAGTCTTCTTTCAAAAGCTTAATGTCGTTTACTAAATACGATGCCCATACTGGGCACGTGTATTCTACGATTAGTCTTACTAATGACTTTTAAAGTGCAGAAAAAAATTATTTGTTCTTGCTACTTACCAACTATACGCATCAATAGGCCTAAAGCTATTTACTTTTGAGTCCACGTGCTGCGACCAGGAAAAGCCGGCTTGAGACGTTGACGCCCAGTTCTTTGTGTTTTAACAGTTTTTAATTTTATATCTGATACATAATATAGATAATATAATATGGTTTCCTTTTGTCATTTTTATGTGCTATTTTCATTACTTAACATTTTTGGGGGTGCCAGTTTGCTGTTCTGTTTTCCAGAGAGTCTAAATCTGATTGTAGTACTACACCTTTTGCTGTTCATTAAGAGAAAATGTACATTCATTTGTGCCAATAGTTGTATCAATAACGTGTAATGTACTTTCATCAACACCACAAGTAACATCATTAG